GGAGCCGCGGAGGCCTCCGGCCCACGAATGACAGTAATATCGGGTGTTTCTTGACTCAGCTGCTCTAGATCATTCATCTCGTCCTGGATTTCCTGGCGGGCTGCTGCCTCGAAAGCCTCCTCGGCACAAATCTCGTGATCTGTATTTATACCAGAGGCCGATACAGGAGTGGACTCAGATGTAGGTTCAGTGGCGGGTTTTGGTTGTGTTGCTACCCCGAAAAAGTTAATCCCAACCTTCTGAGTACTGACTAAATTCGAGCAGCGAAGACCAAGAAGTCGTAGTTTTATGTTGGGAATGTCCTTCTCGAGCTTGGCGAGCATGGGTAAGGCAAAGGAGTACAAGTCTTTTGCCAGACAGACGGCACGAGATGGAGCGGTCTGGCGTGTGAGCACCTCGAAGGTATGCAGTTTGACTTTCAAGGCAAGTGTGCGGCCTTTGAACTGAGTCCGCGCCAGATCCTTTTCAAGTTCTTGCGCAGCCCACCAGAGTTTCGCTCGCAGTTCCTCCTTGTCTCCAATCTCATGAAACGTGGTCTCTGTGCTGACACTTTTTCGTTCGTGGGTCTCGACAGGCTCGATTTTGGTCCGCCCAAGTCCGAGGTAGCACTGGGCCAAGAATTGGAAAGCCTTCTCTCCAAATAGCTTGGTTAATAAAGCACGATGTGGGAAGATATCACCACACTTTTTGACGCCTACTGATTCCAGCTCTCGTTCAAACACTCGGCCAATTCCGTTGACTTTGCGGACCGGCAGGTCATGCATAAATTCCATGATTGCCTCACGTTCATTGGGGACTTGAAATTGCCCATTAGGCTTGTTGATGTTGGAAGCAATCTTTGCGATCTTCGCATTAGCACCGATCCCGGCTGAAACAGAAACCTTGGTTGTTTCCAATATCTCTACACGCATCCGTTGCACAACCTCATGAGGCCCCAAACGGTTTTCGTCGCAGTATGCTGTGATATTCAAATAGGCTTCGTCTATACTCGCACTTTCGAAAAGAGGGTCATATCCGGCCATGATGGCGCGAATTTCTTTGGCCTTTGCGGTGTATTTGTCGTAGTTCATCGGCAAAAGAACCAGCTGCGGGCAAAGCTTTTTCGCGACAAAAGAAGCCATACCACTTCTAACGCCAAACTTCCTCGCCAGATAATTGCAGGTGGTCAGGACTCCTTTACCCACCGCCATTGGCACTGTCTTTAACTCGGGCCGGTCAAGCTCTTCGACGGCGGCAAAGAACGCGTCGCAATCCACATGAATGACATGCTGAGAAAGATCGCGGCTCAATTCAAGCTCAGTGAGGTATTCATCGGCACGTCGTAGCTCACTGCTCAAGTCTAGACGTTCTAGCCGTGCCTTTTCTTTTAAGATTCGTTCGATTTTCAGCGTGAGATTCCGATCCCGATCTTGTTCGTGATTAAAAAACTTAGAGCCCTTGGAAGCATTGTAGATAATCTCTGATACCTGGAAACTCGATTTCAGCTATAGCTCGAAATATAGATACAACCATCAAGCACACCTTTTGCTGATCTACCGAGTCTTGGCCCGCTTTGGTTAAAGAGGGCCCGAGTAGTTGATATTTTAGAGTGTCAAAATCCTCGTCAGGAGCAGACTCAGGCTGTGGGTCACTGGCAGGATTCTCCCCTGAAAGCTCCATATTTTCCACAGTCCCATCGATGGCTGATGGATGAAATGAAAGAAGTGAGATCGCGGAAATCAATTTGACGCGGAGTCACGTGGACACGCGTTTCAATCTGCGCCTCTCAGCGACGTAACCTAGTGCTGACAATAATGATCTCCGACTCGTCGTCATGTGGATTCTAGATTCGACCGGTGATTTTCTGGAAGGTGAGGTACTTGATCGAAGTGGATCTATCGGTTGCTAAAACCTCATAGGGAAGCGTGTGTGGTTGCGCCCTGGAAAGAAGTATCTATTTGGCCGATTCTATCGAGACGGAGGTATGGCCTACTTTAGTTGGAGGATCACACAATTGGACTGACCTCTTATTGAATAGTCCGCCATGCTGTCAACCACAATTCGATATCCCGCAAGCATATGACCATTGAAATCTCACCGGTCAATCCCAGAGATGGGGTACGGTTAACTCCCCCGCGATAATATGCATTATCTGGCTAATTCCAGCCCAGTTATCACCACGAGCGCGATCCGATATCACTATAACCGATTTGGAGTCGAAGAAGGGAACAGTCGTTGATGAGAGGAGAATCCAAGGAGAATGCAAGTTGGAGAAGAGCGACGAGCATGTCATCAAGCTCGCGAAATACCAGCATACACTCCGGTACGTATATCTGCTTCTCATAGGATTGAATATTGAATACCAGCTGAGGACCTTTATAGGATCAAATGGGAACCCGTGGTACTCACCTTGTCAGCCTCCTCCAAGCAGGTGCGAGGTGAAGATCCTCTGGCCCATGTTCGCTCACGTCTCGAAGACCTTGACATTAAAACCATCATGGATTATCTTGTCGATCACACAACACATGTGGTACAACGCAAACGGAATACAGCCAAGGGTCTTCAGGCACTCGTCAACGGGAAGTACATAGTAGATGATTCATATATCGATGCACTTGTCTACGCGGCTACCCCCGGTGACCTTGAGAACGTTGAGTCACTCTGTCCTCTCGAAACAGACTTTGAATCAGCGTGGCCCGATCCAACTCAACATCTCCCGCCTCCCGGTAAAGAGCCAACCCAGCGCCCCGCCGCTGCTTTCGCTCCCAATTCCGAACGTCTTAATGTCTTCGAGGGATATACGTTCATCTTCGGTGATCCAGCTCAGTTTGAAAACCTGCAAGGTCCAATCAACAATGGCCAAGGAAAGGCGCTTTTCTACCAGGTTGAGGATGGGGTCACAACTGCCGCAGATATCGTTCGGTTCATGAAAAAAGCAGCAGGAGGGAAAGGTGTGGGTAGCGAGCGGCATGGTTCCGGTGGTGTCGTTCTTGTTCGCTTTCGATCAAAAGGAGACCTCGAGCAATGGTCTATTGACGTCGGTAATGAAGTTGCTCTAATGACAGACCAGCGCGTGATAGAGCAACGAGAGTTCCTTGACGCTATCCTGGGAAATGATGCATCACCCCTTTGTCGTGCCTTGCCCACAGAGGAGAGCTCTAGCCAGCTCTCCTCATCTACACCAGCGGCCGAGCCTGAGCAAACAGCCCAACGAGCAATTTCTGTGGTGTCCGACTCGGTATCGCCCCCTGATCCTGAGCCTAGCCAGCCCTTGACAGCTCGAGCCAAAACACCCCGTGTGCGTGCATACGTCAGTAAAATGAAGACCTTTGATGACGGATTTGACATGGAATCTGTCCCAGTGTATGCACCTGAAGAAGAGGACACCAATATCAACTCCACTCAGACCATGGATCTCGAAACTCAAGTGCCGTCCCAAGCAATGCAATCCCTGAATCCAGTAAAGGAAGAGCCCGAGGAGGACACGGTCGCTGATCTTCTCCCGGGCGCCCGTGCAATGAAGCGTCGTCGTGCAGAGATGACTCGCCATCACCCGGAGGGTGGGGCTGTAGCCCCGGAATCTGAGGCCCCCAAGCGCAAGCGACCTAAACTCGACGTGCTTGAAGCCGCCCGAAAGCACCGAGAAGATGAAGAGCAACAACGCAAGGCCGAGGAAGAGTCATATCCAGCCGACATAGGTGAGGTAGATGTGGACCAGTTGAAGAACCTGGCCATTGTGGAAGAAATGGAAATTCCCGTCCGCAATGCACCAGCGCGTGAGGATCAAAACTCGGACCGATGGGACGACCAATGGAATGGACGCAAGAACTTCAAAAAATTCCGGCGAAAAGGCGAGTCGCGTAGTCGAGCTCGCATCCAGACGGTAATCGTTCCTCTAGAAGAAGTGACTCGCAAAGACTACGGAATCGGCGATCACTATTGGGCCAGCAATTCCGCTGAGACGAACTCTCGGATCGAGCCTGAAGGTCCGAACTCTGACGATCGTGGTGGTGAAGTTGCTCCATCACGCTCCGAGCTGTCAGCAACTGTACGCACCTCGCCTGAACCAACTCCAGACCCAACTCCGGTTCGACGCCCAAAGCGAGCTCGTGAGGAGCGCGATTCGGACAGCGATGATGGCCTTCGTTTCCGTTTCAGGCGTAAGCGGTAGCACACACCTTTTTCTTTTCTTTTTTCTTTGCAATAGTTTTGTAGCGTCTATTCTGCATCGATACCCTTTCATTCCTTAGTCGATTTGTGCGTTATGTGTGTTTCTAAGTAAATAAAGCTTGAATCCAATCACACGAACTAAATATGTACATATGTATGGATCATCTCTGTCATGTTCCTCATTTTCTGCGAAGATGGCACCACTATAAGGGCCAAGGTAACTATCACGGCCGTATATGATCTACAACATGATAGAGTCATAATTCAATATAACATGTATAATGCAACCTTCGGTCTATTCTGATCATATCCACGTTATTTTATTCATCACAGTCGTCGTTCCCGTTCTTTAAAAGTCCCAATATCAAGTGTCCCCAATAGTAAAAGGTCCGTGTCGCGCAACCTCTCTCCTCTTTTACATTCGACCTCCTTCTTCCATACATCGTCGCTTTCTTCTTCTACATATGTACTTTGCATTTCTTTTTCTTCTTTAGTAGGTTCTCTGTTTCTTTTCATCTTCTTCTCAATTCTTCATTTTTGTTCGTGCTTATCTCTCTCCCCGCCATCCCCCCTCCAATCCGCCTCATCAAGCTGCCCAGCAGCCTGATCGGCAAGCCCCTCTATTCCTGTAACCTGTCTCCTTTCTTCGCCAATTTGATCCACCGAGATCTCTCGTCTGTAGCGAGACCGAACATCGGGCTGGTGCGGCTTTGATATCAGCGGTTAACCACAGCGGCGAGGTGAATACAGTGTATATGCACAGTCTAACATGGCCTGTTTGCTCACTGACGTATTTCAAATTCTAGGAATCAGGTTGCAGTTGCTCTTTCAAAGGAGAGCAAGTCCCATCAATGACTTCTAACACTCCCCAGCTCTCATCCTCGTCCCTACCACCTCTCATGATGTCTGCAATTCCTCCTCCTGGGCTGGTGTCAGTCAATACGCTAGATAGTGTACCTGTTGCAGTTCCTGCAAGCGTAGGAAAATCAAACTGCAGCACCAGTGTAAATGCTCTTTCCGGGGATATCTGTGAAAACCACCCCTCCAGCCCTATCCCCGCGAGTGAGGACCAATCTCATCTCCCCGCAGAAGTCTCCGCGTCGACTATCTCAGCCCCGGCCCAGTCGGCAATCCAATTCGTGAACCTTCCAGTTGAGATCCATGAGATTATTCTGGATCATATCTTTGGCAAAAGAGCCTCGGCTGGTAGCCATACAGCACATGGTGAATCTTCTGCTCAAAACTGGAGCAAGGCTCTCCATCATCCGCGGCGAAAGGCCCTTTCCGACCTGGCATTGACTTGCCGGGTATGGACTGGACTTGTTCAAAGCCGAATTTACCGCCATAGTGAGTTTGATCTGAATGTGAAAGTAAAACTCAAACGGATTGCACTGACAATTGACTGATTTATGTAGTCAGAATCAAGGGCAACAGAGATGAATTGGCCCACTGTGTGCGGTGGTTCAAGAGAAACCCGCATTTGATCCCTCACGTCTGTCACATTGAAATTTGGATGCCTATCTGGGGAGATCGGGTTCTTCGGCCAATCATTTCTCGCTTGGATGCGGAACAACATGTCGCTCGGACAGCTGCAGGTCATGCTGTACCCACGCAGTGGGATCATGATCACCACCGGGGAAATGAGATGTTTTATTATCACTGTGCAACCAACAACGCTTCCTTGGAGGAAATCTTCGGGGTTATTCGGCGCTTTTTCCCCGCTGCCCGAGTTCTCACTCTGGAGGGTGGCCACTGTAAGAACCCGCCTATGGTCCAACATTTCCGCCACAGTCGTGGCATGTACAATCTGCAGGCTCTTATCCAACAGCGCCTACCTGTTCTTGAGCACATCCAAACATTCATCATGCGAGGTGCCTGGAACCTGATGCGACAACTTGACGACTAGCACAACATTTCACGGGCATTGCCAGCTTTGACTGAATGGCATTGTGCTTGGGCCCAGCCCCATATCAATGCCTACTTCATCATGATACACATCCTCACCCGCCCTCGAGCTACAATCCGACATATCAATCTTAGTCTTGAGGGGTTTTACAACAATGATAGTTTGCTAGGTGGGCTTTCTGGGCCTCGAACCTCGCTTCCTCCAATCTGCAGTCTGCTTGGAGGCACAGTTCCGCGTTTAGAGTCTTTTACATACACTGGTCGCGTATGCTGGTTCTTCTTTGAGACATTGAGGCAAGGGGCAACAGCAATGGGTTCTGGTTCTCGACTCAGGTCACTGGACCTTGTAGTCAAGGCGTGCTGTCACAATAGAAAGGTAGACAAATCGCATCACTGGTCGCAGATGAGCCAAGGAATAGGCGGAATTACCAGCATTGCGTTTATTCATGCCTTTGAGGCCATGGTGATCAAGGCAATCGAGTGTCTATCCGTCCTCCCTGCCCTGGAGTACTTGCGGATCCGTTTTATTGACCTGGACTCAACTTGCCCACCTCTGAACCCCTATTTCCAACTTGTCAATAACGAGTGCACAGGCCTGTGGAGTGAAGACATCCTGGAAGCTTTGCGCATGAATCGACCGTTAGCCTCATTTATCGCGCTTACTGATGGAACAGCCGCGGAGTACAATGACCAGCAAATCGTGGGCGCTTTGATACCCCGAGTTCGCCCTCTAGGTATCCAAGTGAACATGTACAGTCTTCTTGCGGACGGCTCCAACCCTTACTAGGCTCACAGCTCACCTCGATCTCTTCCTGGGCGTTCTGGCCTGATTTTCATATATTCATCTCGTCGTTCAGCATAATACCCCTTCATCGTTTCCGACATCTCAGCGAGTTTCTTATTCAGCGTTCAAAATCTCCCCTTTTGTGATATCACGTCAGCGGATGTCATTTTACGGCATATCGGGTTTCTATGTGCAATTCAAGCATGATCATCCCTCATGCTCCTCAATCTTTTTTTTTTTCTGTGAATGTTTCAGAGTGCGCAATCACCTACCGATTCGGAGAAGCAAAACAGAAACTGTGCTCAATGCATTGTTTCTTGCCGCACTGGTTTTCTGTTTTTGACTTGCCGTTCCCAAGAGGGCAAGCTGCTGTTTAACAAAACGCTCTCTTGCGACGTCATGCGTCGATTGGAGTTACTAATCGAGGAAATCCGAGAAATCCGAGAATCATGTTCTTGTGTTCTTGCCGGTGGGCTTGATTCCCTCCGTCATGTTGACCCATAACGCATGTCTCGTGGGTTGGTTTGTATGTATTGTATGTAGTTCAATGTCGTCCCGATCAATCATTGTTGCTTTTATCTAGGATCCCGTAACTATGTACACATCTCTATTAAATACATGTAGTCCCCCCCCTCATTTCAGTGCAACTTCGATCTCACTAGCACCCTCCCCTCCATCCTGAACAATGATGCCTAGAATCCAGACATTCACGGCGAAGAAGAAAAGCCCTGCGAGGAACAGTCCAGGTACGAAGGACGGTAGGCCTAGGAATTCGAGGTTGTAGCCTTGGTGCAACCAGAGAGCCTACATGTTTTGTTAGAGTTGGTGTCCCAAGTGAGGATTGTGGCATCAGAGGATAAGTAGACAATACATACCTGTCCAGCAATCCATAGTATGGCTGCTGATATGCCCAGAGTCGGTTTGCGAATAAGCGAGGAGGAGGGTAGGTAAAACGGAAGCAGGATGAGGTACCAGAGGAAATACTAGATTGGTCAGCTACCAGTACCACCACTTTCGAATGAGATCACGTACCTGGCTAGTACAGACTTTGTTAAAAGTGACAAAGGTAAAGGTCTGGGCGAGCATTGCAGTAGTCAAGCTCTTCTTTGCTAGAACAAGAGGCAAGGCGACAACCACGAGGATTAGTTGCGGGAGGAAGGCCAGTGCCTCGAAGCGAGTTTCCGCCCCTCCGGCAGCAGACAGATATAGTAGTGTACTATAGGGAGAGAAATTGTGGCGGTGGTCGATGCGAGTAAGATGATGGAAGAATGTATGATGCAGGAATGGTTGGCCGTACTGAAGGTACATCACGAGGTTCAATGCCACGAAACTGGCCAGTGCTGCGACAGTAAACTTCACCCGGGACGGGGTAATGAATCCGAAAGCCTTTGACAGCAGACCTGAGCCAGCCGTTGCAGACCCATCGCGCTCAGCATCCCACCACCAGAGAATGGAGACACCATAGATGAACGGATAAATTTTGAAATGTACAGCAAGACCCAGGATAAGCCCAGCAAGGATAGGCTTTTTGGTCAAAGTTGCCCACAGAAGCGCCGCAACAAGCACTCCGAGCAGTCCTTCCGAACTACCGCGAGTACTGATATTGGCAACCATGGGATTCCATAGCCAAACAGCGGCAACATATCGCAGCGCGCGCTCGACAGGAAAGCGATAGCATCGGACAAGCAGCTGAACAACAAGCCATCCTGCAAAGACATCGGACAATGCAAAAAGCGCCTTTCCAAAGGCAAAAGTCAATGTTGACCAAGGTGCAGCACCCACCCACGCAGTTGGGAGAAGCATCCACGCCAAGAGTGGCGTGTAGCGGTAAGTATCGCGAGCATAGGGCGACTCTCCCTTTGCAACATAGCGCGCAGCATCAGTGAATACCATGTAGTCAATATCGGTGTATTTCACAGCGGAATGCGCGTCCTGCCAGCCTCCATAGACGAGGAGAATGAGGCGGAGGGCTGTTGCGGCAAGGAAGACTCGCGCTGGAGAGTTGAAGAGAGCCATTCTCTATCTTGGAATTAGGGAAGGGGTTTTTTTCCTTTTATCTTTTTTTCCGTTGATGACAACCAAATGAAGAAATTAAAGGTTGCTAGATAGTCTTTTATGGCTAGCTCGCATAATTGGGCGTCTTGATGAACCCCTTGGCGTATTTCGAGGGAAGTAAGGAACTGCGCATCCAACCAATTTTTTTCGGCCTTGAAATCCGTAGTAACTTTGAGTTTGAATTGATTCACTTCAATTCCATTCCATATAATTCGTGCTTGGTAAATTGACGGATGTTTACGTGGAAGATGTTGATGCCAGGGCCGCATTCCGCCTAGGCCCCGGGGCCTGATGCGCGGCTGACTCAGCATGGTCCGTGTCCACGAGATTGCCTTTTCGGGACTGGAAGTATACCTCGCCATATACATACATGTATATAACATGTATATAATGCAGTTATTGAAGCATCCTGAAGACTAGAGCGCTACTATTTACTAGCCAGTCACTTTTGATGCATTCTTCAGGTTTGAAAGTTGGATATAGTATATCTTTTATTGGTTTCACGATGTTTCCACTGGCCCCTGTATTGCTATATAGCAGGTAGATATAAGACACATGTGCATTGTCTCTACAATATACAATCAAGCAGAATGAACTGACTGCTCGAGCCAAGGCCTTAACCCCACAAAAACAAGGAATCTCCACTGATCCACGTTGGAGCTGCAAAATGCGGGGAAGTGGCCATGGAATCGCGGGCATTTCAACACCCCTGCACTCCAGGGTTACTTCGTACGTATATACGATGAACGTCCCACAAGAACCAGTGTGATGTCACCGTATTTTTAATCATCTACAAACTTGGAAGTAATCCAAGCCAGTCACATCGAATGTTCCCATGTCTTGGCTGACACGGTGATGCAGGTAGTCAGTACGCCACTAAGAGGGGTTACTAGATAGGCTCAGTGACACCCTGAGACCTCCCTTCAGGTCCCAACTTCTCTAGATCGGTTAACAGAAATGCCAACAGAATGGTTCATGTGAAAATTAGACAGCCAGAGGGATTTCCGTGCTTCTAGTACGGACTTTTATACCTAGGCCCAGGTCTTGATGTTTCAACTACCGAGCATAAGGTAAATGCCTCAAAATTCACATTTATTGGTATTCCCACATCTATGTTGCGTAAATATCCCTAGTTACAATAAGCGAAGATTCAGAAGAAATTTCATTCACACTGTGTGAGATGATAGCCAAAACCCACACCGAGGCACTCTGAACGAGACCCTTAACGAAAAGCATATGCAGCGTAATCAAGATGTTGAGCACACTTCCTGCCAAGTGAGGCACATTATTACACCTCGGATCTGTATCACTTGAACCGCTTGCGTAAAAAGTCATTCTCTGTATTTGGAATTTGACCAGCTAAATCAGGATAACTTAATCTGATAGGTTAGGTGCCGTCAGATTATGTGGTCTACTTTTATACCAAAAGCAATATGACAGACTACTTATGAATCTTTTCAATTCAAACCCGGCTAGTCTTGACAGAGATCACAGTTTGTTAGGCAGAGGCGTACTTCAGGGTCGTCCTCCTTATCTACGTACCTCGTATACCACCGTACAATAACACAAGAAGATGACGATCACCCCGCAAAGGAAACGAAGCTATATTATAAAGTTCACTGTCGCCCCGGTCCGCGGTATCTTTTCATAGACATATGATAATTTCATATTCCATAAGGGTTTGGTGATTATATAGATAGATCTCCTTGTGTATTCTTCTCTCCATTAAAGAGACCTTATCATGGCTCCGAGCATAGGAAAGTATATTATTGGGGGCAATCGAGGGCTTCTCGAGCCAGACTCTGATGAGTCTGAAAGACTCGAGAAGGTCGGATCAGTGAGCTCGACCTCGAAAAAGAATAGATTCCGCCGGCATTGCAGGCGATTCTGGTGCATCTACCTCATCGCCAACGTGATATTCTTGGCTATTTTCTTACCCGTTTTGTAAGTCAAGGTGCTATTTTGCTTATTCCCCTGTTCATCATCAAACTAACTCTACCAAACAAGCTTCCTGGTCGCAATCCCTGCCATCGCGCAACTAGTTGTCAATAAATCGGATCTGCGAATCGTCAATGCCAAAGTGATGCACCCAACAACAGATACAGTACGGATGACACTAGAAGCAAAGGTAAACTTGAAGATCGCAATGGGCGTTCGACTCGATCCTGTTGTCTTTTACGTATTTGTGCGCTCCGCCGGTCATAAAAATGCATATGCAGGAATTGAGATCCCCGGGCAAACCATTAAGGGGAATTATTCACTCGGAGTCACCGACCAGTCGACTCCAATTCTCAATATGACTTCCTGGGAAACCTTTGTGAGCCAAGCAGTCTTCCAAAAGAAAACAACACTTTCACTATATGGAGTGACCACTGGATATCTCGGGGCCCTGAAAAACCACATTGTATTGGATAAAGATGTGGCAATTCCAAGTGAGTACTTCACTCGACTGGCCTTACACCTGTGGGCAGTTTTGTTAATAATCTAAATAGCTTTGGACAAGTTTAAAGACTTCTCCATCGCAAACAGCACCTTCGTCTTACCGGCAGAGGATGATGGATCCAACATCGTTGCCAATATTACACTTCCAAACCCTTCCATCCTCAGCTTCGAAGTTGGCACTATCACACTCGACCTCAAGAGCGGCAATACAGACCTTGTCATCGGGAAAGCAACGGTCAAAGACGTCACGCTTAGACCAGGCAACAACACTTTCCCGTTGAGAGGTGTGATCGACATTAGTACGATAATAGGCAACCTCACCGAAGTTCTCAGCTCACAGGGCCCCGCCATCAGGCGAGGCGCACTCACCCTGACAGCTGTGACCACATCAATCGTATCCAACGGCACTTTGATCCCGTACTATACAAGGGTCCTCGGTTCACTCCCTCTGGTAGCAAACGTGAGCATTGGCGATGTTCTCAGAAACTCGCTTGCTCACCTAGGCT